TTGGCTTCTCCATCAACCTATTTTTTTCTTTGACTTTGTTAACTCTAAATCCTCATAATACAGTGTTTGCCTCCTTTCAATTTACTATGTCTTCATTTTCAAGTGTTCTTATTACCCTTCTACTTTGAATTTGAAAGTTAGTAAATACAGCGTTCATCTCTCTTCTTCTTCTCCTGACTTTATTTCTGCTTTGGTGATCTCGTGTCTGGCCTCTGCTTCTTTCTGCACTGTGGTAGACTGACATACTGAGGACATATGGGAGGAGTAAACTCATGTAATGCTTTCATCCTTTGAGACCCTCACAATCTAGCCCTTCCTCATGACCCTTGTCTGCACTGATCTTAATCTCCCACCGGCACTGCCTCCAGGAGAGCGCAACACCTTTTGTCCTCTCACATTTTATGCTTCATTTGCGGCCCTAGCCTACAGTTCAGCTTGATGTTGTATGTAGAGTTAATGAATGAAGAGGTACGCATTTAGTGTGTGCTCTGGGTATATATTACATTTTTGTTAAATTGCCGTTTCCCTTGTAGGGGAATTTCTTTCAACTCCTGCTTAATTTGTGATAGGCAGGTGTCTATTTACATGGTAGGAATTGAGATTGCCAGCTGTCTTTATAAATAGCTTCATTCATTGTCTCTGAAGGCAGTTAATTGATCCTGTCTATTTAAATACTATGAAGCTGAGACCAAGCCTCAGGTGTTTATTGGGCATGCACAAGAGGATAGGAGCTTACGGGCTGAAATCAGTGCTAATCGAGAAGAGACCAAAGACCACAAGACAAACTTGTAGTTCCAGAAGTGACCAGTCTATGACTTTCTAAACTATTAAACTGTTTAAATTTTATAACACATGGAAAAGATCAAAGAGGAGGGGAAACACCAATTGAGTTTTTTTCCAAAACCAGTTCAGTGGTTATTTACCTTTCAAACAATTAACATAATTACCATTATGCTAAAAAGTAATTTTGGAAAGTTCTGCCCTGAGCTCTTATGACTCCACTGGGACAGTTTTAGTTGGGACTTATCTTTTTGATGGAAGCCTAATTGCAATTTTGGCTTTGTGCACACAAACAGAGGCAGCTAATTGTTTAGGCAAATCGCAGATTAATTTAAATATGCATCTCTAATAAAACAAAAATGGTATCCATTATGGTCCTTGTTCCCATGACGAGGAATATAAATATTCTGTGTAAGTACCATTAGGTGGAGGTCTTAAGGATTGTCAACATTATTTCACAGTGGTAGCACTTTGCAGATACCGAGTAATCTTTACAAAAGCTAACATAAATCAGTTTAAACTCATTTAGATCCCATTTCCACTATTCGAGGTTTCATTACCACACTCTGGCTGGCCTCCTTTGGGAGGTGGGAGAAGCATGCTGCAAACTGGCATGGGTGCCCATCCACAGCTGCTGAGCAGGCTTTATGTCTCCTCAAAAGACTGGTCCTCGTTTCTCATGTCATCGTTAATGACCGCTCCCAGTCTAGGGCAGCCCCGGAGTTCTTTCAGCCCTGCTGCTGCTCATCAAGATGGAGGGTGCTGTGCCCAGGGAGCAGGTCGGACTGCCAAGCCCTGCCCCTGCCTGCATTTATGGGTTTTGACCCTCACTCATTGTCTTCTTGTAGAGTGTTTAAAAGACCTGGTTTCTTCTTTTGTCTGCATCCTTTTCACATTTATTAGTAGAACAGTTCCATTGTGTCGTAGCACTACATCAGAATTAAACATATTTACACAGCTGTTGAGATTTGTGTCAAGAAACTTGTACTGTATTTTCCATTCTGATTGGGGAGAAATGAAGGCTCTTACAGTCTGGCTCTTAGGCTTATGCTTGATTTGGCAAATGTTTACAAAGACCTGCTTCTTAGATCACTGAGAAGCTGCATAGAACCTCCCTTTGCCTTTGCTAGAAATTTTGTCTTACTTTGGCCTAATACATAGCATGAGTATGGTAAGTGTCGTGTGTGTCCTTGCTCTGCGTCCCTTCTTAGCCACTCTAGAGGAAGACAGGTTCATAGGATTTGAATTTATTTTTTAGCCTCAGCTGATTGCTTGGAATAGAACCTTGTGGGATGGGGATAGCTGTTCTTCATGTATAGTAAATCTCAACTCAGAAACAAGTCCTTTCTGGAAGAACATTTGTGAGCCAGATTTGTTTGTAATCCAACAAAATGAGTTTTACACAGTAATCTGTGAGTCTTAGGCAGTACACCCATGAAAGTTCAAAACTCCAGTGTTCATAACTTATGGTGCTATACCCAGGAACAAGAGAATGGTGGAGAAAAGAAGCAAACTGTTGTAGGGATAGAGATAACATCTGTGCTTCAGCCAAGAGACAAACCCTTCGTGTTTTTGTTTTTTTCATAAGTCTCCTTGGTCCTGATCCCTTATAATCTCCAGCTACACTTCCTGCCCTTGGGCTCTGTGACATAGCCTGTGCCTTTCTAGTTGGTTCTTCTTCTGTGTCTAAGCTAGTTTCACTGGGATTTCTGTTTCTTGCAACCAGATGTTCCTTTGCTGAAGCACATGACAAGCATTCAGCAAGCTTTACTGATGTCCCATAACAGCACTGTGGAGTTGCTATTATGGGGAATAGAGGAGGAAAAGGATGCAATCTTAACGTTTGATAGTTCTACACCATGCCGGGCACCAAGTCCATCGGAGTTTCCTTACAGTCACTGACTACCACTTCCTTACTAGTCCCATACGGACTCTGTTCTACGTGAAATGTCTAAAGACTTAGCTCTTTCTTTTGGGGAGTCTGAAAATAATGTGACAGCATGACAGAAAAGTTACACTTGGATAACATCATTCCATTGCACTTTGTATAGATCTGTTATGTTGTTCTATATCTTAGTCAAATGATTGTTTTCCTCTAGCACGTGGTTTGTGAGGACAGGGATCATATTCTTTCCATCTTTACCTGCTTCCAGATGAGATGCTTGGGTCAGAGAGATAGCTCAAGGCCATAAGTGCCCACCTGACAGATGCATGGTCCTGAGTTCAATCCCTGGTACCCTCCAAACAAAAAAGAAAAAAGCCTCTGTTTACCAGATGAGATGCTTGGTAGATGCCACTGGAGTGCTAGCTTCATGTAGTCGGAACCTTTTTGTTTGATTTCATCTTATTCATCACAGTATCTTCCATCCTTGTAACTGTGGCTTGGCACAGATCAAGTGCTTAGGAAATACATGTTGAGTGCAATATTTTGTCTTTTTGGCAAAATACTGATAACACAAAGACAATTAGTTATATTGTTATACAACAGTCTCATAATTTGTTTCTGTTAAGTTTCTGAAGTTTAGAGCTTGTAAAAGTAGCCATAATATAGCTATATTAGTTAGTAATTTGGCCATTTATAAAATTAGCCTTCAGTCAAATCGTCTTTTTTGCTATTGCATCTGTGTGTGTTGTGCTCTTGGGCCAGTTCAAAATGAAATTGCAAAACTTGCAAAAGTTGCAGGATTATGTGTGGGTAAATAGCAATAACTCTTCTTTATTATTTATATCACTCTACAAGATAGATGCTTGCTTATGTGAAATAACAATGTATGTAAGGTTTATAACCTAACATAGAAATAAAAATGGCACAAAGCCTGGGAAGGAAGAAATAGAACTGTGACACTTTAAAGTTCTTAAACTCTCTGAAGTGTTACAGTACCCCTGGAAGGCAGGCTGTGATAGTTTAGGGTATATGTCAAAATCTTAAAGCAAGTACTATGGTAAAATAACAAAGAATTTTGGTTTATAAGCTAACATAGGAACTACAGTGGAATAAACACAAAAGAGGGGGAAGAAGCAAGAAAAGCTAGAATAAATAGAAAACTGGTAGATTTAACCCAACCTTATCAGTCATCACATTAAATATAAATAGTCTAAACATCCCAGTTAAATGTAAGGCCAACTATATGCTCTTTGCAAGAAATATACTTAAATATAAAGACATAAGGCAAAATGAAAAGATGGGGAAAGATACATCTACTAATCTATCTACTAAAGATACTGCCTACTAATCTAAGCTGGGAATTTCAGAGCAAAGATTCTCCATAGATAAAGAGAGTCATTACATCTGATAAGGTTCAATTCTTCAGGCAGACTTGATGGTCCCAAATGTATGTGCACCAGAAGTGATGTTGGAGGCCTGATCAGTGCCACCAGCGTCATTGTAAGTGGGGACCTGCCTCTTGTACATGCTGTGACTGAAGTGCAAACCTAAAACAGATGATAACAAATATGTTGTTTTACATTTGAATGTTGAACTTGTACAGAACTCTGCTTTTGTTTGTAGTTACCTAGTTCATGTACTGACAGTTTGAAAGTCTTGCAAAGTACCTTGAATATATTACTTTCTTCTAACTCTATATGTGCTGAATGGTACAAGAACCTAATTTCAAAGCATTTGCAGTTTACGAAGTACAAAACAAGGAAAAGAAAGATAAGAAGATTGGTTACAAAGAAAAGTGAAGAGCTTTAGTCTGGGCAAAAAGATGTTTTAAGGAACTATGATTTGTCAGGGGCCGAGGAGATGGCTCAGTAGAATAAGTGCTGGCCTGCCAAGTGCAAGGGCCTGAGTTCAATCCCCAGTTCTGAAAAGAAAGAAAGAAAGACAGACAGAAAGATGATTTGTCCATGAGCAATACAGAAGAAATTAGCATTATTGGTAGATGAAGTGTGCTTTATTCATAACAAGATTATAGAAGACACAATGAGTTAAAGGTGAAAGAAGAATGGCCTGTTGTTAGCATCTTACATGGTTGGTCTCCGATCCAACCAGCAGTCCTGTGTGGTAGGTAATGTCATCTCCAGTATTATAGGCAGGGAAAGTGTCTCACATCTGTGGCCCAATTACCCCAAATCCATGACTAGCATGCGGTGGGGCTAAATTCAGACAAATGGCCACAGACTCTGCTGTCTCCACGTTTCTCACTGAATTTTGAAAATTATGACATGATTATAATTGTTCATATTAAGTGAACTTAAAATTGTTCCTTTCTACCTAGGATTTCTGCATATTTGGGACCTGAGGACCGGAACAAGTCCTGTCCATCGCTTTGAGCATGATGCACGAATACAAGCGCTAGCCCTCAGCCGGGAAGGTGCCACTGTTGCTACTGCTTCTGCTTTTGACGTTGTGATGTTGTCTCCCAGTGAAGAGGGGTACTGGCAGATAGCTGCAGAATTTGAAGTTCAAAAACTGGTGAGCTTTTACTCTGATCATTTTTTCATTTTTAGAATCTCTGGGTCTATGTAAACAAATAATGTTAGCAATGCTCATTTACCAGGGCTTCTTTTGGGTCTTGTATCCATAAAGCTCACAACAGCCTTGCCAAATAAGTAGCATTGTTTTCTCCATTTACCAAGGATCCAAAGGACACTGAGAGCTCTTACTGGCCTGCTTCAGGTTTCAGAGCTAAGAAGTTGGGATTCATTTCTCGGGTGTCACTCAGTACACACCTGATAGCACGCACAAGGCCCTGCCTGTGTTCAGTCCTCACCACCACACAAAAGGAAACGTGCACCCCCAGAGTGGACTTGGATTTGGTAGTGAGTAGTGCCCAAATCTATCTTTGCTGAATTGGATTTAATTTAAACACTTGATTTTGGCACTAGGTAGGAAAGTGAGCAGAAAAGCCAACATAGAATCACAGATTGATGGCCTGACCTGAAGCCAGTCCATATTTCTATCCTTTTAGTCCCTGGTTGAAATAGTGTTAGATTTGAATAATTTAAAAAGTCATAGTATCACTGCTTTAACTCCCAAGTTTCTTGCTTTTTAAAGATCATATCTCTCCACTCTGGATTTAATATCCCTAAAACCACCTCCTGCTATCATCTCATATTGGGTTTTTTTTTTTTGTTTCGTTTTGGCGGAACTGGGGATTGAACTCAGTCCCTTGCGCTTACCAGGCAAGCACTTATTCTACTGAGCCATCTCCCTGGCCCCTCATATTGGGATTTATTAGAAAAATATGGAAGTGGGCTGGAGAGATGGCTCAGTGGTCTAAAGCACCTACTT